ACGCTATTGGGGAGTCATGTCTCTGTTGGGGAGTCATGTCTCTGTTGGGGTGTCATGTCTCTGTTGTGGAGTCATGTCTCAGTTTGGGAGTCAAGTCTCTGTTAGGGAGTCATGTCTCTGTTGGGGAGTCATGTCTCTGTTTGGGAGTCAAGTCTCTGTTGGGGAGTCATGTCTCTGTTGGGGAGTCATGTCTCTGTTGGGGAGTCATGTCTCTGTTGGAGACTCATGTCTCTGTTGGAGACTCATGTCTCTGTTTGGGAGTCAAGCCTCTGTTGGGGAGTCATGTCTCTGTTGGGGAGTCAAGTCTCTGTTGGGGAGTCATCTCTCTATAGGGGAGTCATGTCTCTGTTTGGGAGTCAAGCCTCTGTTGGGGAGTCATGTCTCTGTTGGAGAGTCATGTCTCTGTTGGAGAGTCATCTCTCTATAGGGGAGTCATGTCTCTGTTGGAGAGTCATGTCTCTGTAGGAGACTCATGTTTCTCTAGCGCGCTCGTTGCTGTGAGAATAAAGCAGTTGGCCCGAGTGTACTATACAAGTTTAAGTTGAAATCACAAAACTTGCGAGGTCCGTAAAAAACGACGTGGCCTTTAAAACTTACTCGAGTTTGTTGGAAGCAATAACTTTGTTTGTTGCTCAAAAGTAGCGGGCTGCTGTGGGTTCCGTCTATACCCTTGCAAAATTTAGAGTCGCCCCAGCTTCTGGTAATCAAAATCAGAAGCTGCCGCGTCTGTAAATTTTCACTGGTTATGTAGGCCCTTAAACTGAGACCTTAAATAATGCCCTGGTAGTGACGCTGTCAAATTCAAACGTTTGCAGCCAGCGGGTCTTATAGAAGCTGTGAGAATTGCCGTCTCTGTGGTACGACATAGCGTCGACGGAGTTTTCTGTAGTCAAGGTTTTATAATGAAATCATTTTTGGACTGTTATGTTGAGCAACGGTTTTGAGAGAGCGGTTAATACGCTGCTTTTGTGTTCGTAAATTGCGCCAATAGAAATACAAAAATTGTAGCACGAGTCTAATGAAATGATTTGGGGGCGAAATAAAACACGTGTCAACGTGGCATAGAAATTTGTTTCATTTAATTAAAAGCACGGAATGCCAGAAGCATGCCAGCTACTCAAGAAATTGCTCGTTGCTGCCCCGAAAATATCGAAGCGACTCCTTTTTACGGCTTGCAAGGAGGCAAAGTTGTCGCTGCTTGCTACAGCTTCTGCCCAACCGGTAAATCAAGTTGAATTGAAGACAGTTGATACAAACCAAAAGCTCATCAAGATGCCTCAAGCAAAAATGTATTAAATTACTTTGATTCGTGGCTTAAATTCATCCTGTGTTCCATGAAACGCATATATTTTCAAATGTATCAGTAATAAAGGTAAATTCATGTATTTGTTTATTTAATAATTTATTTCATTCAAGAAAAGTCCCAGAATATGAATCTCCTCTACGGATAAAGTGCGATGTCACGTAAAAGCTTTTAATTTAACGTCCTTAATATTTGGTTGACTCTAAGTGTATAGTGCACATAACTATGCAATTAAATCAATGCTTGCTCTATACTGAAAATTTTTGACGTATCTCAAGCACCAACAATCATCAGATGAATGTTTGCGTAATATCGTATTACGCACCGCGTCGACGCTGGGGCATAAGGCTTGGTAGCAACAGTGCGAGCTGGAGCCGCAACAACGTGAGCCAGGCCAGTCAAGTGAGCACTTTTTAATAAGCCAGCTGACCCGGAACTGAAAATCAGCAATAACATAACGTGTGATGTTTCTCTCAAAGGGTTGCTTGGACGACAAGGAAAACTGAAAATTCAGCTTTTGAGTAAACACTTAATTAAGCACCTGCATCTGTCACAGATGCCGGAAAATTATCTGCTGAATGTTTTCGAAATGTGGGTGAAGTAAGAATGTAAAGAGGCTGTGGTAAGGTCACTTCATTCTAAATGTTAATTCTGAAGTTGTTTAACTCCATACGAAAATTAAATTAGGCATAGAGTTGACATTTATATAAGGCAATGACCAAATTTTCATATCAGATAGTAAACTATGCTTTATCAATATTTTCTATAAACAACTAAAAATGTACAAAATTGACGAAACTATTCATAATGATTAAGTTCATTAATTGTGAATAAAAACATTAGTCGCTCATATTTAACGTGAAGAAACTTGAGCAAATATAATTTATTTGCAAATGGAGAGTGATGCCATGAACATGAGCAGAATTTATCTGCTGTAAAATCACTGCGCGATCGCCCGGGACCGAAAGTATGCCGATGGGGGCTTTAGATGCTTTTAGGAGAATCAGAAGTCCTAAAAAATTGTAAGAAACCAAGCGGGATTTTTTAGTTGAACCGTGCTGGCATAGCACTCCTGGAGCTTCCATTAGATTGAGAGGACATGCATTTGATCTGCATGGACTCAATGACTCAGTAAACTCAATATGCTTATAATTTAAAACACCCTTATAAATCAGAACAAAGTTAGGTTAACAGCAAAATGTCATTAACACTTGGTGAGCACTATTTCTGTCATTGATCTTTCATCACTCATAGAGACGTAAGACAATCCTTTTAGCCAAAATAAATTGTTAATGAATAAATTGTTAATGCATAGAATGTGAGTGTTGAGTCTGGAAGATAAAAGGAAAAACACTACTAGGACCGTTCCGAAATAGTTTTACTTATATAATAATTATTTTTATTATATCCTAACAAGCACGACCTTTTTCAAGTAGATGATGTATATAGTGCATGAGGCAGTCTGACACAGTATTCAACCGTCGACAATAAAAATGTTGCTACAGAGAAGCAGTTTTATCAGTAAGAATAATTTAACATCAGATTAACATCATTTGAGTTTCAATATATTTTTGAACAAAAATCACGTAATAGAGCGAGCAAGAAGTTTGCCTTACCTGGGAAGCTCCTTGAACTGCAGCCAACACTTGCCAAGCTGCAGCTCCGGCAGCAATCAACTAAAAGAACTCGAGTGTAATTCCAGACGTCGTTTTCTGGTTGTTTGACTGAAGCGTTTCTCCTTGTAGTCCGATAGGAGATTCCAGTTTCGCCTGAAAAACCTTAAAAAATTAAAACATTGCTTTGTGCTAACGTTCTCGAGCACCTGCAATACATTCTGGAGTGCACAATCTTACAATTTTTTTAATTATTTATACACTATGTTTCCTTAAATTAGAATCCGATGTTTAAAGTAGAATCCTTCTCCACAGTCATTCAACGCGCTCTAAATTATAGAATCAACAATTATTAGAAGAGTTGTTACTGTACTCTGTGAATTTTTGGCGAAATTTTTCACATTAACGTCTAATTTTTCACGTCAACGACCTAGTAGTAGTAATTAACTGCCTACAGTGTCATGTCCATGTACGTCAATTCTTGGTTTCAAAATTTTATATTTATCGATTGCTGTATGTTAGCATCAGCCATTTCAGCGCGGAGGGATAAAGGGAATTTCGAAATTTCATACAAAATAGCCGAATATTACTGTGAATGTAGCGTCCTTGTTGTCATGGCAACCGTTCCGTTGGTAAAGAGTCAGTTCACTTCGACGCGCCCGCTGGCAGGTCCATAAATGTGTGCTCACATTTTCAGTTTTTTTATTCCACGCTTTTTCATTCAGAGCAGCAGGAAGATGTTCTTATTCTCTACTGCTACTTGAAATATGGTCAAGGTTTTTGCTTTATGGTGGCAAAACAAGATGGATATCCTTTGAATGGGATTATTCTATAGGAGACTTTTGTATCTCTGATGGAAAGATTCACGATTATATGACAACTTAGTTATAAAACAGGTTCCAGATATACCTTCTTGTTGCATACTATTCACAAAATATGTATCTGAACTTTCTTAATCCTTAAATTATTCATGTTCAACTTTGAGACAAATTTTTATTGTATCAACCTATAAATTCAATGTTAATCGACTATCAATTCACTCATAAATTCACCTAAAGTCTCAAAAATATATATTGAAAACATGTCCATTCCTGAAATTCAATGGGAAATTTGAAAATTAGTTGAAAATTTTAAGAAATTATCAAAATAATGTTAGTATCAAAATGTTTGTTAGTAGGTCTACGGACTTACTAACAAACATTTGAGTATCTCCCATTAATGCACATCGTGCGAGTTCCCTCAACTAACTAGAAGCTTGTAGAAGTAATTATCTTCCAGTAAATTTGTCTCTGTTTTAGCAAGGCCAGCGCAATAATCAGCCGCTAAAGAGAAGATATTTCCTTGTCATTATCTCGTTCCGCTTTAGAGGTGGCAGGAATTTTTTCGAATAATGACTGGTACGCTGAGTGCAAATAACCAGCCGTTCTGGGGTAAAGTGCCTCTGAGGACGCGCAAACGTCTGCCTATTACCGCCTCTTATTTTTGTGAACTCATTTTTATTGCGAAGCAGGCCAAGTTCTGAGAGACTTTCCACTCTGCCAAAATTGTGGTGTATTGTTCGTTGTTTCAAGCTAATGTTTTAACGTGCGATGTTTATATTTGATTTACTTTATAAATGAACTGAATTTAAAAATGAATTGAATTTATGAAATGGTTGAATTTATGAAAGAGAATAACTTATGAATGAAATAAATTTTTGAATGAATTAAATTGATGAATAAATTAGATTTGTGAATCAATTGAATTTATGGAGGAATTGAATTTATGAATGAATTAAATTTATGAGAGAGTTGAATTTATGAATTAAATGAATTTATGAATGAGTTGAATGTATGAAAAATATTAATTCATGACACAATTGAATTAAATGAAAGACATACGTAAGGAGAAAACATTAAAATTAATAAGTAAAAAGCAATTTATCCGTTATTTTTATGTCATGAATAAAGTTTAAATTTTTACCTTTCTCTATAATTTCCAACTTTGTTAAAAACAAATCAGAATAAGTGGATGGCAGAAGTTAAAAATAATAAATAGAAAGAATTATAATTATATATATCGACAAAAAGACGACAAAATAGAAGATGCCTCCAAAGAAAAAGGCAGGTGCGAAAAAGAAAGAAAAAGATAAGAAAAAGGAGGAGGCCGAAACAGAAGAGTTGACGGAGCTTGACAAGCATTATTATCTGAGCCAAATCGAGGTATGAATGGTGTTCCTGCCGCAAAATAACTTAATAAATAGATTGAGGGATCAAACGGAATTTAGTTAAAATAAAAAATTTGCTCTTTATATTAATTGATCTTCAGTGTTAGTCAAGTTTACAACAATATTGTAATGCATTATTGAATGAGAGGCTGAAATTTCTTTTTAGAAACATTTTAATAAAAATTGATTAGGGATCATATAGACAATGCGATGTTATTATTATTCATTTTTTTCACGTTGACATTGATGTTGCAATGTTATTATAATACATTATTTTCAGTACAATATCGAATACTAACGAATCTAAAGGCGGAAAAATTCAATTACGTTGAAATTTACTTGAAATTTAAAAAAAAAAACTTTGGGACAGCGTGTGCTTATCATATTTTTATGCCAAAATATCAATCTTAAATCCAGTTTTCGTGCGCATGGAAAAATTTGAATATTCTGTGGCCAGAAGCTAACACTAGGAGCTTTTGCTATTCGTTCCAAGCGTCAAAATTTCCTATCCGTGTAATGATATTAAATCCAGATAAATTAAAGAATTTTTCTCTTGAATATTTATCAGAGAAACTGAATTTTAAGGAAGTCTTCGACGTTAACGGCATACTTTTTTAATAAAATATTCAAATTCATTAACACATCACAGTTAGTTTATCCGTAATTTATATTTTTAGCGCATTTTCTCATTTATGGAGAAAGGCGCTATTGTGTTCGTCTTGTCCGTCTGTCTGTCCGTCTGTCTGTCTGCCTGTCCATCCGTCAGTCCGTCTGTCAGTCTGTCCGTCCGTCTGTCCGTCCGTCAGTCCGTACGTCAGTCCGTCTGTCTGTCTGTCTGTCTGTCTGCCTGTCCGTCCGTCAGTCCGTCTGTCTGTCTGTCTGTCCGTCCGTAGGTCCGTCTATCCGTGACTTCACGTTTTCGTCGACGAGAAAATGCGCTCTCTGTCACTCACTGCAGGGAGTACTGAGTTATATTTTTTGCAGGCTCAGGCTAGCCAGCTCGCGGCGCTGAGCGCACGTTGTCGCCTGCTGGAGGAAGCTGAGGCACAGGCGAGACTCAGGCACGATCAGCTGCTGCAAGACAAGGTTGACGTCACATCGCTGCTCAGGAACAGGCGAGTCTCAAACGCTGGCAAGTTTAACTCGATGTTTCAGGTGAATTCAGGATTTAATTTAAAAAATTTCAAGTTATATCAGTTATTAGTCGATCTGCTCCTAAATTTCGTGCGTATTAATTTCGTGCTTATTAATTAGAATTAATAATAATATAAAAATGTCATAGTTATAAAATAATAATAGTACTAATTAATGAATAGTATTAATAGTTAATAGTTTTTAGTTCAGCAATGCGAGGGTGCTTAGAATTTATCAACTCGCTCACAGGGGTCATCATAGTGTGACTTGATTAGTAATAATTAATGATTGAATGAAACAATTTATAAAAATTTTTCTTTTCGGATTTTAATCTATTCAATTAACTAAAAAATTTCCGCATTCGATGCAGAAATATCAATGGAATCGACCCAATATTCACGTTGCAGTTAGAAGCTCACCAGGCCGTTAATATGCAATAACCTGGGGGCATGTGCTGGTAATTAAAGTTGTCATCAATACTGCTGATTAAGAAACTGTTTTTATCATCAAGCAGTGCATTTAGCTATCAAATTTATCCTGCATACATTATTGCTTGCGGTGGTGTTTGTAATCTTCAGTGCAATTTATTTAATTGCAGACACGAGCACTGAAATTTTGCGTAAAAATACAAAATTTTGATGGGAACAACTAATATTTACTTACGATATACTCATCACTTACAATCATAAGTAAAGTTTTCACCCATGATTCCCATGGAATGTTGAAGCACCATTTCACCCTGAAGCGTACCTCCTAACGAGCCGCATTGCTGTCTTAATATTTATAGCGACATTTGCGGGCCTCGCTGGAAGCAATTTAAGAAGGCAATTTTGCGGCCATTATGAGGAGGGAATTTTGAGGGAGCTTCATAAGATGGAGGAAGCAATTGACTTTTGCAGATTGAAGGCAAGAGGCGGTGAGGCTGAGGAGCTGCAGTCCAGACTCAGGGCGCTGCTCATGAAAGGCGATGAAGAGCGGCAGCTTTATGAGGTCAGCGCTAGGTATTTTGTCGATGGTAATTTTGTATTTAAAAGTCATAATAAAATTAATTTAGGAGGTTAATTAACATGTGTGCAATATTCTTCTAAAGTTTTGACATTATAGATAATTTGAAAACTGAGTGCAAGTGAAAAGATCGGTAATATTTAGTCATATTTTAGATTAAAAAAATATTCCAAAAGTATGCTAAAATATTGCTCAAAATGAGAATATTGCTTGATCGTGATCGAAATAAATATGGTTTAAAGCATGATTATCGCGTTTTTTAGCTGCTTTTCAGCTATGTAACGAGAAATTACTTCAATCACTCGTAATCGACAACGAAAACCGTAATTATTAAAATCATTTCTCATGCCATTCAAAGCTTAAAATAAAACCACGAGTTTCCTTTAGAATATTTGCGAGAACTAAACAACTGTTAACAATTCTAAGGGAGACAGGCCAGCTAGTCGGTTATGTTTTCTTTAGAATCTTTGTGGAATGTGTTATCACGAGTTTTCTTTAGAATCTTTATGAGAACTAAAAAAACTGGTAACAATTCTAAGGAAGACAGGCAAGCTAAAGTTGGAGTCAACACACTGTACGTGTCGTGCAATGTTTATAACTCATCAATATTCTGTCTCATTTTCTTTCGATGTTCTCATTACTACCTCCCAAAGCATGTATGTTTCGGGAGTTTATATAACATCCAAAACTTTTACGTTCTGAGAGCCATGTTTCCAACGAGTAATATGCCTGCTCTCACATCACCATTCGGTCATGACTCACTTAACTCGATTACGTTGCCGCCTCAGGAGCGATTAAAAGAACAGCAAAAGACTGCACACGAAGAGCAATTGAATCTGAAGGACCGACTCATAGCTCTCTCCAGGCAGCTCGAGAGTCTCGAAGAGTTCCGGCTCAGCAAGGACCAGCTCGAGTCGCAACTTGAGGAACTCAAGTCATCGCTGCAACTTGAGAGCCAGCAACACCAGGAGCAGGTGGGAAAATATAATTCAGTACTCACTGCATGCAGTGAGTGACAGAGAGCGCATTTTCTCGTCGACGAAAACGTGAAGTCACGTACGGACAGACAGACAGACAGACAGACGGGCAGACAGACGGACATGACGAGCACAATGGCGCCTTTTTTCCTTTAATGAGAAAATTGCGCTGAAAATATCATTGTCGCTGCCTTCGTAATATTTATTGCTTCCTCTCAAATAAATTCATAAAATTAAAACTATGGTAAATATTTTGGATATAAATAGTATAGACCATGGCATTACATTAAACCATACATCACGTACGTTTTAATTACTTTCACGGGGGAAACAATTACATCTGATACAATTTTTATTAAAGTGCGCTTACAACAAGCAGTGACGAATTAGAAGGCACGTTTCCACACCAATATAAAAATATGCAGTTAATTCCCTCGATAAAGTAAAATTCATTACCATATAAAGTGCCACGACAATCTCTTCGTGGAATAATAATAATAATAATAACAATAAAAAGAAAATTAGCCCCTACATTAATAAAATCTACCATTCACGCTTCATTTTCATATCGTTCAGATCAGCAAGCTGGAACGCTCTTCCATCCAAGAATCAGAAGCCCTGAAGTCCGAGGTCGAGCTGCGAGTCACCAACCTGGCGAGCAAGTTCCGTCGAGCGGCGGCCGCTGAGATGCACTCAACCACCAGACGCGCCCTGCACCACAACCAGGCGCTGACGAGCGTCCTAGAGACCCTGCGAGCGCGGCTCCTACACCTGCGGGAGGAGAACCACAGCTTAAAAGATCAGCTACAGAGCGCCAAGGTAAAGGAAAAAATCCAGAAGAATCTGGCAGAGGAGTTAGCGATGAGGTCACAGAAACGGGGGCTGTTGTTGAGGTGTGTAACGGAGCGAGCAGAGCAACACATCACACAACATGAGGAAGACATTCGACACCTCAGTGACGTTGAGCAGCTGAGGAAAGATTTGCGTCTGCAGCAAGCTCAGCTGGATGCTACAACAGAACTTATAAGTCAGCTTAAAGAGAAGGCTTTAGAACGAGACGTGGCTTTGGAATTGACGGCTGTGCGGCTACAGGAAGAAGATGTCTTGAAGAAATCGCTCCTACGAACTGTCCGTATGGTACTAAGTCTCTTGAAAACTTCTGCTTTCGAAAATAATAACGAACGAACCCTTGAAGACTTTACATACGAAAATTCAAAAGTTGAATCTGAACTCAGTGATATCGGGAACCAAAACGTTAGTAATTTCACTCTAAAAGGCAAATTTACGAAGGAAGAAGATAAAATCATGGCAGAAAGTGAGAGTGGTGTTAAAACTTCCATGGACCAAACACCGGAAAATTATTTGCAATCCGAATCTTGCCATTGCGAAGTAACAGAAAAACATGGTGATAGCGAAGCGGCCGGCTTACAGTCGCCCATAAGGAAAATTACGCATGAAACTGAAACAAATTCTCCATCTGAAGACAGAGAAATGCCTGCGGTCTCAAGCAAAAGGAACATGCAGGTCATGAGTGGCGATTATGGTACGTCATTCTCCAGCCTGATACGTCAGATCGTCGATCTGCTGACGGCAGCAGAAGAGGCAGCGACTGGGGGAGACGTTACGACGTCTGGCGGAGGCAGTGACGCTATCGCCAACTACGAACAAAGCGACGTACTAATGCACTACCAAGGAGGCGATCTGGGCCTGCTTCCGCGGAGTGGCAGGAATCGGAAGTAGAGTTTTCCATGAAACATGAGAAATTTGTAAATTTGTTCCAATAGCAATGCACTTTTTTGCCCATGTTCGGGTCACTTCGACTTAGTTTAGCCCGCATATAGGGTTTTTTTTTTTATTATTATTATTATTATTATTATTATTATTATTATTATTATTATTATTATTATTCCACGAAGAGATTGTCGTGGCGTCTCGTTTGGATCGAACTTCGAGGGCACGTTACAAGTAGCTAAAAAAGACACGAGAGGATAAAAACAGATGACGTCTATGCTAAAACAGACATATGCCAAGACTGACGACGTCTATGCTAGAACAAACAACACCTATGCTAAACCAGTAATATACGTAATAGATTAGATGACGGCTAGGTCTAAGATTCAAAGGCTCTACGGAAAAGTTCTGTTTTTAGGCGTCGACGAAACAACGGCAGCGAAGAAGCAGATGTCACCGATGCTGGCAGACCATTCCATGTTCTGGCCGCAGCGACCGGGAACGCTCTGTCACCGACTGTGGACAGACGTGAGGACGGGACGACGAGGTCAGCCTTCGACGAGGAACGCAGGCGCCTTCTAGAAGGCAGATCCGACACGCGCCGCAGGCCTTCAGCGAGATAAGGTGGTGCTAAACCATGGAGGCAGCGGAACGTCAGAACAGCGACTTTAAACTGCGTGCGCTGCTGGATGCGCAGCCAGTGAAGGTCACGCAAAATCGGTGTCACGTGGTCAAATTTCCGCCGGGCACAAACGAGTCGCGCTGCAGCGTTCATTACGAATTGCAGTTTGTTAAGTGCCGTGATGGGAAGTCGTAGAGTGTGGCATTGCCATAGTCCAGTCTGGTCAGCACAAGCGCCACCATGAGGGCCTCGAGGACCGGCCTCGAGAGACAGCGACTGACGCTACGAATTCGCCGCAGGATGCCAAAACAAGCAGCGGTTACTTTGGCAATGTGGTTGTTCATAGATAGTTCTGAGTCCAGCTGAATTCCGAGGCTGCGTACAGAGGATGCAGGTGCGACGAACTCGTCGCCCACTCGCACAAGGTTTGCTGCAAGCTGATGTTGGCGACGAGCGGTCGCGAACCAAATAAATTCGGTTTTCGATGCATTGAGCTGGAGCCGGTTGGAACGCATCCAGTCTGAAACGGCGTCCATGCAGGCAGACATCCGGTCTTGCAGCGCTGCAGCGTCCGCCGGCGCACAGTAGCCATAGATTTGGGTGTCGTCGGCAAATATGTGCGGATTCAAGCTGTGTGAATCAATTATGTGCAACACGTCGGCAGTATATAGCAGGAAGAGTATTGGGCCGAGAACCGAGCCCTGCGGTACACCGCAGGTGACAGTCGATGGTGTAGAAGAGGAGAGCCCGCGACCGTCAGTGCAACGTTCACTCTCCTCTCGTACTGTGGTTAAGAATGTGGGTCACCCGTTCATTTTTATTATAAGTGTAAAACAAGATAGATTGTACTTACTTCCGGCATCTGTCGCTGAAATAACGTTGGTCAAACTTTAAAATAATGTTGACTGCTTAAAATATAATTTGTTAAACGTTAAAATAAGTTGATGGACGTTAAATAACGTATACTTACGTTAAAATAACGTTGATTTACGTTAAAATAACGTTTACTGACGTTAAAATAATGTTGATTGACGTTAAAATAGCGTTGATTAAACGTTAAAATCACGTCGATTTAACGCTAAAAAAACGTTGATTAAACGTTCAATTAACGTTGATTATTATACGTTGTTTTAACGGCATCAAATAATATTTAACGCGGTTTCAACTCCTTTTGCTTGGGGTGAACCTTGCTAGTCAGGCTGTCATAAGAAGAATTATTCAAATATTTCAATGGATTTTATAATTGTTCGTTATCCTAAAATTTATATTTATCTGTTGTCCTATGAATTGCCAGTCTCTAAAATAAACGAAAAAAATTACTTAACACAGCTATCAATAATTTTACTTATGAATTGAAATTTTTTTCTGTCATGATCATCAGTATTGTGACAAAAAGATCCCCTTAAATTTTTCGAACTCCCTATCAAGCTTACACCAAAAACCGCTATGCCTGGACGTGTCATGCAATGTTTATAGCTCATCAATATTCTGTCTCATTTTCTTTCGATGTTCTCATTACTACCTCCCAAAGCATGTATGTTTCGGGAGTTTATATAACATCCAAAACTTTTACGCTCTGAGAGCCATGTTTCCATCGATTAATATGCGTGCTTTCACATCACCAAAGCCATTTATCCGTTTCATGAAACCCGTGCCTCGACATCAAAAAAAGCCATTTATCCATCTCGTATGCATATTCACGCTTGTGCGCCACCAAAGCCATTTATTCGCCTCGCCACATCCACGCTTGTGCGCCACAAAAGCCATTTATCTACCTCGTCATATTCACGCGTGTGCGCCACCAAAGCCATTTCTCGCTCATCACATCCTTGCTTTTGTGTCAGCTAAGCCAAGCATCCACTTTGTGACGGCCATTATACATGCAAGCGTTTGTTTAGAGCGACACACCCGTAACCCCCACAAACAGTATAAGTGTTACAAGGGGCACTGAGATACTTCACTCTATACTTTCATATATGTTTCACTACTATTTGTAATTCGTTTATATTTCCGTTATCCATGATTATCATGTTAAAGTGTTTGCAGTCTAACCTCATATCAGGTGATTATTATCTGTAAATTGCGCATTTGTGTTTACAATTATCTGCAGGCGATTAACTCGATTATTTTATGGTGAACTTAATATACCACAAGCATCAAATTATATCTTTAGAAACCCAAAAGTCTTCGAAGATCGATTTTACCTTGAAAATTGTTGCGTTCGAGGACAGGATAGATGATGCTAGATGATATCGATGATTTATTTTTTAAAAAAGTGCTAAAAATCTAAAATTATTTTTCGTCAAATTTACCCAACGTTTTAACATCTTAGAATTCTGCGAGCCCTGGACATACCAGCTATATACGCAACACTCACCACCGAATACGTGACGTCCCTGACACAAACGTGCGCTATTACTAACGAATTCCTAAGAAAGTACGACACGAATGCCAAAAACTTCTAGAACAAATATGGGAACATCTGCTGGTACAAAAACAGAAAGAAAGAGAACGTAAAAACATAAACCTATAACGGGATAAAGATGGATGTCATATAATTTGTTAGGTAATAACAATAGACAGTCCCACGGGCAGCAAAGTAATGATTTTGGACAAAAGTTATGACAAAAACTCACACACTTGCAAAAACTAATCTCAGGACGAAAAATGGGATTTGTTACGAGGTTGTATGGTAGTAAACATTAATCGAACAGTTACTAACATCCTGCGTTACTTACTAACACCCTTTCTCATGATAACTAACAGTTACTTCGTGAGTTACTTTAGTTACTAACATCCTTTCTCATGATAAACTCATGTTTTAGCCGATACTATAACAGGCAAATTTGAGGAAGCATCTTAGAGATGGAAATTGCGACAGAATTGGATCAATTTTATTTGATTGCATAAACAATAGACTGCACGAATACTTTTTTAAAAAATCATTTCATCTCTTATATTAACAGGTAAGTTTAAAATGGGGTATTATTAACATGATAGGTAACAAGTTTTCAATTTGTCTTAGCCAAGCGAATTCACCACAAGAGTGCACTCAGAAAAATTAATGGACCAAGTTCTCATATAAGAGTGATACACTTTTATACCCGCAGCATGTAGCACTGGTATATACGTTTTTTTGCCGGGCTTGACTGGATCATGATGACCAACAGTAGGAAAAAAGGTACATCTCTATCTGAAAATTGCCCCTCTCATTCCTCCGAGTGTATCACTGAGACAGTCATTCCGTAGTCATGACGATGCTGTGCTGAGTAACATTGCTGCTCTGAAGCTATGTCTGCGGCAGCGCTAAACGAGGGTGTTGGTGCACTCTTCATGGGCCCAACCATACATAAACACGACGCTGCCGACGCTTGGCTAGGACTCACTGCTTCGTGCTCTCAGTGAAATAAGTGAGACTTTGACCAAATAGCATTGCACATTTTGCTCGTGTGTGGTCATACTGGCATTAACATGACGCTGGCAGATGTTTGGTTCAGACTTTCTGATTCATGCACTCAGTGAAATAAGTGAGACTTTGGCCAAATAGCAATGCACATTTTGCTCGAGTGTGGTCAAACTGGCCTTAACATAATGCTGGCAGATGTTTGGTTCTGACTTTCTGATTCATGCATTCAGATAAAGGAGTGAGACTTTGGCCAAATAGCTATACATTCTCTGCATGTAGCACTGATATGACTTTTTGCCGGGAAAATCTAGGTACCCAAATAAAAATTATCGGTGGAGCATCGATGATTATTAGTGGCTATTTATGGAAATTATAGGTGATGCACAGATGGCGAAACGATGCGGCATCAATAACGTGTCCGGCCAATGTTCCACCCTGCCGATGGCCACCATTAACGAAAAATTCCTCTTCCACCAACGACTATCCATTGTCATTGGTGGAGCATAGGTGAGCCTCCGATGGCCACCTTTAGAATGAAGTCGATGATAAATTTTCATTTAGTTTTAAATCCGATGCATTTGCATTCACAGATATTGTTTATTACGATCACGCATTACGAGGAGTACGTCCACATCCGCGATGGAAGTGCAAGTAACAATTTCATACATGTAGCAGGAAGGAAATGTCACAATACCTGACACATTCCTCATCAGAAATAGACTTGACAAAATATTCCAGCCTGTAGGATTAGAGCTCCGATCTCCCGCACGTGAATTGCAGGAATTTGCATTCGAGTCATTTTAAGAGACTTAATCGAAACAATGCAAGTACTAATTTCATCAACTTGCAGAAATTAACCGTTAATATAAGATGGTTCATTTAGCATATTATTCGAACATGCTGTTATATTCGAGGAAATAGCCGCTGAAAGAAACTTCTTTTATCCATAATGAACGATGGTTCAGCTCAAAGTTAAGGGGT